TTATCACAAAACGATTAAATTATCGGAAATTGAGTTCCCGTTGGGTGATGAATTATGATGAATGTTATGATTTCTAGATATTTGGCCACCGGTGACAGTATGGTGTCATTGACCTACTTATTTCGAATAGGTATGTGTAAAATTTCTTCTTGAAGCCGGCATTTGTATTACCAACTTCTAGGAAAAAGCACTGTCCCATACATTATAATGGAAGTGTGCACGGTTATATGGAAGCGATTATCAAACATGGTACTGAAATCATTGACAAAAGACAATTTCCGAGAAATCGCAAAGGATTTTGAAGAAAAGTGGGACTTCCCCTACTGCATTGGGGCTCTTGATGGCAAACATGTATTAATACAGGTATGCATATCGATTAAAACCATCTATTAATATGTTAATGTAAACAATTATATTATTGTAGGCTTTTCCGAATAGTGGTTCTGAGAAGTTTAATTGTAAGGGAACTCATAGTTTAGTTTTCTTAGCGCTATGCGATGCTAACTACAATTTTACAGTTGTGAACATTGGAGCTTCAGGTCGTCAAAGCGATGGTGTTATTTTGAAAAATTCAAAATTTGGTAGTACATTGGCGACAAATAAGTTGCCAATTCCCCCAAAGGAAGTTCTGTCGGGTTGTACAACACCGATGCCATACGTAATCGTAGCTGATGAAGCATTCCCACTAACTTAAAATTTTAATTTCCGATTGTGACGCTCACGAAGAGTGATTGAAAATTGCGTTGGCATTATGTCAGCTCGGTTTTGAATATATCGGAAACCAATTTTATGTAATCGAGCAGGAGTTATTAGTATTATTCAAGCAACGGTGTCTCCACAATTATTTAAATAAATATTGTTCACGAAGTATTTCGGGTAGCAATAATCGTGTGAATGCTTATAACGAAATTACACGAACTGGAAGTAACACATATTCCCGTTCAGCTGAAAACATAAGAAATGAGTTTGCGGAGTATTTGTTAAAATACCCGATAGAACATGTCGAATAAAATATCCTAATAAATTAATTATAAAACCACAGTTTAGCCGTTTTTCTTTCCTTAACTTTTTATATTATTTAAAAAGTATAATATTGTATTATAATAAAGTATAAGTATATTATAAGTGATATAGTTTATTAATAATTAATCGGGAAATATCCCATATTTACTTTTATAAAATATTTTATGCATCTCAAACATAAAATTGTCCTGAGCTTGCTCCGGTAGTTGCATAACTTTTTTCGCCATACTCGCGAAAAACAGTTCAGTGCTGCTCATTTCAGGTGCAGCCGATGTTGTGGGCGGCGGTCTAGATAATTCCGCTCTCAACAGCTCTTCTATGGTATCTTTTGATTCTTAAATAGAAACAAAACTATCTTAGTGCATTTGTAAAATACATAAATCAATCTCATATAAAACTGAGAATTACTTTTTCGTGCAGAAGGTTTTGTACTCTGAGTTGGCAACGGTGGAAGAGGTGTTGGAGCTTCCACCACAATTTCATCGAAATTATTTCGGATAGGACCACTAGGAAATGGATTTTCAGCATTCTCGCACTCATTCTGAATATAAAAATGAATAGGAGTTTCTCCTCGACCGTCTTCATAACCTACAATAAAAAAACAATACAACAAATTTTTCGGCCAGGACAACATCTGAGATTTCTGGTTCCTAGTTATTTAAGATTTAAAAATTGAAAAATAATACTTACAACTTGGTGATTCCATTACTAAATTTGAAGTGCTTCCTTCTTGTGATAGGTAGTCCATAGTCGAAGGACCTTCATTATCATCCGCGTTCGTTGCATCAAAGTGCATACTTGTTTCCGTACTACAAATAGAAACATTACAATTAGAAATACATAAAAAATATTACTCATNGATCTGAGGATTCGATTTCTCTAGCAAATTACCCAGCACAAACCACCAGCGTATTTAGAAGCCTTTCCGAATTTAGTATTGAGAATTTAAATTAAAAATAAAATGAAATGGAGCGAACTCAAGGGGAAGACTGTAGCTTCTATCTACCTTGGTAGTTGGTACTCGACTCCCCGAGTCGAACTCGGTGGCGCATCAACGCCTCACCCGATAACGCTGACTTAAGCAAAATAATTATACAAAACGCAATTTAATATACAGGGCGGTTTGTTACACCTTCTTGTAATAGGTAGTCCATAGTCGAAGGACTTTCATTATCATTCGCGTTCGTTGCATCAAAGTGCATACTTCTTTTCGTACTATAAATAGAAATATTACAATTAGAAATACAAAAAAATATTACTCATGAATGCTTCTTACATACTGTCTCCAACATAATTATCTAAAAATTGTAGATATTTAAAAAAAGGCCACTTCTTTGTGGAAGGTTTACCGCTTCCACTAGGCAG